CAGTCAGTTTTTTTATTAGTCAATATTGGATTGAACTCTTTTTTAATCACTGTATCACTCATAGTTAGAATTATCGGTGAGTGATCATAGTTCATGTCCCAGCCGTCATTGATATCCAGATAGTTAGCTGAGATATTTTTGTAAATAAAGAAATCTATCAGGTCTGGAATTTTGTTCCTATCGGTAGGCCAGTATGTTGGTCTACCAGTAGAGATTACTTCACCCTTTTGTTCCTTAACAGCTGACAATAGTTCTTTTCCTTTAGTTGTAGTTAAAAAACTAGAACCCCAGTGGATATTTTTTGCATTAAAGTCGCCACCGATGATATATCTTTTTCCTAAAGTGTTCATAAACTCTTTATATTGCTCTCTTTTAATGGAGTGTCTAGGAGGACAATATATTGAACTTATATTTAAGGTATGTGTTTTTATCTTCACACAGACTGTTGTAGCTTGTATGTGCTCAGTTGCATATTTTAATTCCTCATGATGCAAGATGTTATCTTTAATTATAATAGCTCTTCCTCCTTTAGCTACATTATCTGGGTGTACAGTAGAATACACTCTATACCCCCTAAGTTTAACATATGACTGTTTAGTGAAGTGTGTTTCAGAAACGAGACACAGATCAATTTTCTCAATATCTAGTACTGCTTGCAACTCGATCTGATGTTGTAACAGTCCATTTGCGTTCTACGCCATTATTCACAATAAATTTAAAACAGAAAAATTTAAAATGACAGCTAAACTCAAAACCTTAAATTTACAATTTTAGATGTTACAATTTTTAAGCTTTAACAAAAGTAATTATTATTTTTTTTTAAATTGTCTGTCTTTACTTTAAAATTTGGAACAAAAGTTACCTGGATTTTTCACTAAAAATTGCACTTTGAATTTTCTGTAACTGGACGTCACTGGTATTTCTGGCACTATAACTGGGCGTAGACCTGGGCTTCACTCTCTGTGCAACGAACACACGAACAAATCAATTTCCATACTGCCAAAAGCCTTGGATGATAACCAGGGAGAAACAAAACGAAGATGGAAACGACGATTCTTCCAATCCTCCCTCAAAACATTAACTGAACCATTAACTTTACACTGCTACACATTTTCTCAGAAAAGGGGCAAAACAGAAAACTTTACAAATTCGACATGAATTTGGACATAACGCTGAACCGCTCTTCGAGAGTGATGAAATTATCTTTTAAAATTCATCTCATAAGTTAGAATAAACAAAACGCTGAGTATAAACAAAACACAACTGAAATTAAAACGTAAATTATTAATTTGAAAACGTAATATCGTTCAGTTCGAGTAAAACATTTAAAGAAATAAATAAATACCGAGGAAGTACACACCTGTAAAATAATAAACAACTCTAAAATGGTTTATATTAACTCGAGCCGACCTAAGAAGGAATTGAAATATATTTGGATTTTAAGTCGTACGATTAGGAAATGAAATACACTAAAATCATTCTTCGTTACTTTAATACATATATGAGGGGATTTCAATATATTACATATTTATTTCAAAGATTTGAAAATGTTGCAACATAGCTTCCTATAAGCTTTTCTACATTTTTGCCAGAAGAAACTGCCAGCAAAAGCAATTAAAATACATAACAGATCAAATCTTAATATTAAGACATTTTCATGACACATGGAAGAAAGCTTACGTAATATTGATGAAAAAACCAGAAGGAAACAGCAGATTTCCCCAGAATTATCGGCCGATATGCTTTACCAGCAATAAGCAAAATGGCAGAGCGGGTCATACTAGCTAGGCTAAAAGAAGAATCAATACGGAATCAAATCGGAACAATAGGCCTGAAGCACAGTTCGGATTCAGATCCGAACAATGAAAATGAATATTTTTGGTAGCCGCCTTTCCAGATGTCAGTAAAACATTCAACAGAGTTTGGCACAAAGACCTGCTGTATAAAATGAACCAATTTGATTATATTGATATAAGGGGGTTGGGACGTAGGGCCTGCTCCTCTACACCCGTGAAAAACTTACTGCAAAAAATTCTAAAATCCAGCCTCGGAATACGGACAGGAAAAAACGAAGACGACGTAGCAAACGAACAAGGAATTTGAATATAAATACATGGAATATCCAAGGGTGGAGAACCAAGTCAGTCGAAGTCATGGCAGAAGTAAACAAAATAAAATCAGATATCACGGTTCTTACCGAAACAAAGAAAAAAAGCCAAGGTAGTGAAGACATAAGAGGTTTTATACATATTTATAGAGGAGTAGAGAAAGAGAAAAGAGCACAAGCAGGGGTATCAATATTGATAAAAAAAGACTTAAAAGGAAACGTGGAAAGGGCACGACGTCGAGATCATTGGAATATATGCTCCGTCAGAAAATGCATTAAAAGCAGCTAAACAAATATTCTACGAAACTTTATCGGAACTCATTGAAAATATAAATAGCCGCAAATAAATTGTGCTATTGGGAGATTTTAACGCTTGGACAGGAATAAAAACAAATGACAAAGTCGTAGGAAAATATCGTGACGCTAAAACAAATGAAAATGGGGAACACTTAATAGAATTCTGTGAACAGCACTCTCTGAAAATCCTAAACGGATTCTACCAACATAAAAACATACATAAGTACACCGGGGTTCAACCAACGAGAAACACAAAGTCAATTTTAGATTATGTCATCACAAAACAAGAAACACACATACAAGTTGAAGACATAAGAGTATTAAGAGGAACGGAGTGCGGAACTGACCACTATATGGTAAGATCAAAATGTTACCTACAGTATCGACCCCGGCTACTACATTAAAATGACAACCAACTAGTTCAATCAAAACCCCTGGAATCGAATCTACCTAAATACAATATTGATGCACTGCAAAACGACTCGACATCATTCTTTTATGAGCTGCGACTTGGCCAAAAATTGGCAAACCTGATCTACTCCTCAGCCCAGAATACCTATAAAGAAATAATCAATAAAATCAATGAAGCAGCTTACGAAGCGCTCGGCACAATCCAAAAGAACAAAAAGAATACTCCATTGTGGTGGACAAATGACATCGCCAATGCAGTACACAACAAGAAACAAGCATATCAAAAGTGGCTGCAAACAAATGATCCAGATGATAGACGAACATATGCAAGATCAAACGGAGCAGTAAAAAATTTAGTAACTAAAGCAAAAAATACTTCCTGGGAAAGTAAATGCGAAGAACTCAACAAATATATAAGGTCAACAAGATCAAGAGAAGCATGGAAAACGGTAAAAAATCTGAGAACAAACAGAAAAGAAACGAGTAGAATAGATTTAATAGAAGAAAGATCTTGGAACAGTACAGGAAGTCGAGAATTCAATTTTTGTCGATTTTAAACCGGCATATGATAGTGTCATAGTCTTTACAACGCTATGAATGAGTTAGGAATTCCAAAAAACTCATGTTTGATAAAAGTGACAATGGCGAAGATGCGATCAGCAGTAAAAATTCAAAACGGCTCGTCAACCCCATTTGAAATAAATAGGGGGTTAAGCAGGGAGATGCGCTGGCATGTCAGCTTTTTAATGTACGAGACGCTAATTTAGATAGCAGGGGATCAATATTTAATAGATCAGTCCAAATTTTAGCATATGCAGACGACTTGAACATTATAACAAGAACCAGGGCGAGAACTGCGGAAATCCTAACCGAGCTAGTTGCAGTAGCAGAACGAATAGGGTTACATATAAATCAAAATAAAACCAATTCATGGCGATTAACACAAACACAAGAGCTGGAAATGTTGACGCAGATTTAGACATCAATGACCAAAACTTCGAAGCAGTTCATATATCTAGGGACATCGGTTAACCCCAATAATAACACATTAAAGGCGAATAATAATTTAAGGCAAACAGGTGTTATCATGGTTTATCAAAGTACTTAGCTAATAAACGTATGTCTCAAAAACTCGTATATGGCTGTATAGAACACTGATATTTCCCGTTCTCACATATGAATCAGAGGGCTGGACTCTAACTAAAACATATGAATCCGCTCTATCAATTTTTGAAAGAAAGGTCCTACGTAAAATATTCGGAGCGGTCTGTGAGAACGGAATATGGAGGCGTAGATACAACTTTGAACTGCAGAATATCTACAAACATACGTTTGGTGGTAAAGATACCACTATAATTAAGCGAAATGCAGTGGGCAGGATATGAAGCCGGGGCCCCAGAATCGAACATGATAAAACAAATTCTAACAGGGCAGCCCATGGGAATGAGAGGACGGGGTAGAACAAAGCTGAGGTGGATGGACGGGGTAACACAAGATGCCGAGAAGATCGAAGTCGGCAACTGGAAAATGCAAGCAAGGGACAGAACAGAATGGTGTAGAAAGCTTGAGAAGGTCGAGGCCCCCTAAAGGCTGTAGCACCATGATGATGATGATGATGATGATGATGATGATGATCTCTCAAAGGCCAAATAAAAACTGAAATAATATAACGCCAGTCGGTCAGGAGAAAACCGCTTGAAGCATTCCAGGAAGTTGAGTACTGCCACCACTATACAAGCGGCGTCATTTTAAAATTTATCACTGCCGCGGCTCGGTACTTTCGACCGACACGCGTGTAGTCCCGGGTTAATGGGAATTAACGACAATTTCACTTTAAAATAAGTTTATTTGGAATCACTTATATCATATATATAATAAGTTTATATCACTTTGGAAACCTTTCAGACAATTATTTTTCGAAAAAATCAAAATTTATGAAATGCAAATCAAAACCTCAAAATTAACGTGTTTTAAACCGAACAGATAATAACTAGTAAAAGACAGTTAATTAAAAAAAATAAATCTGAAATATTAGGTTTAAATTAATGTGCTATTGAGAATAAATACGTGGAACGAAGAAAATAACATATTCATCTTTAGACTAAAACTACAGCGTCCGCCTCTAATCGCGATCCTGGCACCGATAACCACCAAATAGAAGTCTCGCCGAAATACGTCATACGTCAGAGTTCTCGGTTTCAGTTGTCATCTTTGTTGCGAGTTAAAACGTACCCTCGCAATTCACTTTAGTGCCTTAAAAATTACCGTTCAACAAAATTGTCGTGTTCCGCAAAAAATCTCATGTTAATCCGATCCATTTATACAAATTGCCTTAACTTATAAATAACTCGACAAATTAAGAAAGTTCTCTATTTAGAAGTGCACTTCATTGTTACTGGGTTTGGTGAAAACGGAATTCCAGCACTTTTAAATTGCAGGTTGGACTACTAAATCATTTGGGTTCTCCGTAACTCAACCGCACAGTTTCTAGTTAGGGTAGTGAAGTGTTAAAACGATGGCTGCTTCGCGAAGAAAGCAAGACGAAAAAAATCTAAAAACTTTGCGTGAACTAGGAGTCCTACTTGCCAATAAATATTGTTTTGATTGTAACCAACGCGGCCCTACATACGTGAACGTTACCATTGGATCCTTTGTTTGTACGAAATGTTCAGGAATGCTGTAAGTACCGTTTCTAAACTTTCTTATATTTCAATCCTGCTTTTTAAGCAACGTAATTATCAACAAAGATGAGCGATGTGCAAAAATGTTCTATTTATATTGTTGAAACCATTTCTTTTGTTCCTATAATATGTAACTACTTGTAAAATAGTAATGTACATTTGTTTATATGAGATATTAGTTGAAATAAATTTGTTTTTCGGATTTTTTGGATTAGATCATATACCTATCATTAATTTTACATAATAAAAAAATATTCTTGATAATTCTAGATCAGAATGAATTCCTATTGCAAATTACTTTCAAACCTAAATATTAAATTTAATCTACAATCTAGATGGATATAAAAACCATAGGAAAGTATGCACAGGTGGTTCAAAAAGTCAATCAGGAATTTGAACATAACAAAAGGTTATGTTCCTGTTATTCTTTTCAAAATTCAAAAATCTTCAATATTACCTACATTTCAAACAAAAAAAAAACGATTCAACTTTATTTATTGTACTTCTTAGTGTCTTTTTAGCCAGGGTTATTTCATATCGGTCTTTTTTGTTTTTGAATTTTTTTAAAACAAAAAAATGTTTTATTTATGTTTTTGAAACAATTTCAGGGTTCCTAATGTACATTTATTTGGGTGGAATAATGTTTGAAATTTTTATGTATATGGGTTTTTAGATTATCTCATATCATTAACTTAACATAATTAAAACAATACTATTCATTTATGACTAATATTTCCAGTTGCAAATGACTTTGTATTTAAATTACTTTCAAAACTAAATGAAAGGCACACAATGAAGGGCACACAGCTTAAAGCATGAAAGTCCTTGATATATTATTATGAGAAAACTTAAATTGTAAATTTAGGGACTTACATCTATAAAATTGGTTAAGATAAATCTTAATTTATTTATCAGTTAAATTGCAGGTATTATTAAATGATAAAAATGAAAAGTTTAACATTTTGTGTTAAAAGTATTTTATTGAAAAAATAAAAAACTAACAAAGGTGGTGTGTCATGTAAAATCAATGAAAGTCCAGGCTTTTTATTGGTCTGTAAATATTATCAGTACTTACCATTAGTTATCTTTAGGGACTGGATTATATGCTCTAAAAAATGGTTAAAATATACATGCAACATGCACTTGAAAGTTAACCAAATATGCCTTTATTTTCACAAGAAAATGCCCTCGTTCTTGCTATTACAGTATATAATCATAAAATGTTCAATATTTTCAATAGTAATGTTATGCCTTCTATCAGTTAATATGTGTTTTTATGAGGAAGACGATCTTTCAACATCACAGGATGTAATTGGCGCAAATCTAAAATTTGACACTAGCCAGGGATCCATATTAATAACTTCATTAAAGCTTCCATTGATTATGTTATTTATGGATCACAATAAAGAAAAGCCTTCATTCTGTTATAAAACTTCGCTAAATTTATCTTCAGATATCCACAGATATTCATCTCTTTATACCTGGCTTTTAATACCTTCAATAACGTCTTTGTAAGATGCCCTAACATTTTTCTTGCGAAGAGTTGAAGAAATTGGTACCTGTAGTGACTTATTTTCAACTTTACAATAGATTTCAAAAAGTTTTGACACACCTTGCTATCTAATTTATACAGTGGGATATTGCAACTACAAAAAAATTGGATACATATTTTGCAAACATTTCTTTTCTGTTGATGTGTGATGATTTTGAATAATGTTGTTCTGCAGAAGCTGCTGTTGTGGTTTGTTGAAGTCCTTAGTTAGTGTATATTGGTGGAGAGCTGTTTTCAGGTTTTGGGAAATTTAGATTTTGTTTCACATGGATCTGTAATAAAACGGTTTAGTAATTAGGAGTCTAATGCAATAATATGGACTAAAAATTTTTAAGATAACTTATATTTTTTTTCTCGAAACTAAAACTTCCGCCAATACTCAAACTGTTACATGTAAACATGTAACAGTATAGGTATACCGATATTCTTGCAAAAATGAGATTTTAAATTAAATTTTTGAATCATTAAAATATAAATGGACTCACCTTTTTATCACAAATAGTACAAAAAACACTTTCATTGTCTATAATCTTCATTTAACTGTTGCCACCAACCCAACTCCACAATAGACTTGATTTTTGTTTTGCTACTTTCGGCATATTTTCAAAAAAGAAATTATTTTTATTTTATAAGCACAATATGCACAATAATCACAAGTTGCTTTGCCAGCTGGTAAAGAAAATTTAAAAACGAATGTAATGTATAATACCTACCTGCATGTTGGCCCTATTCTTCTGATAAATAATTCCCAGATGGGTTTTCCCAAATAACAAAACTTGTAGAATTAATAGATATTTGTAATAAAACTATTTCGTAGTTACCTTACCTAGTATCTGCTATGAATAATTCATAGAGACTATTATCTAAATATGTATAGAAAACCATTTTATTTATGTAATATTTCAAATATGTGACAATATGGACCGGAGGAACAAGAGGAAGACCGAAGCTGAGATACGTAGAACAAATAGAAAATGACATAACATTAAAAATTAAAAACTGGAAAAAAAAGCACGAAACAGGTCAGAATGGAGAAGAATCCTTGAACAGGCCAAGACCCAAAAAGGGTTGTCGAGCCAGTGATGATGATGACATGTGTAAATAATTTTATAAAACAATCATTTACAAAAGTGAATAAGAAAAAGAAAAATGTACTTACCTTAATTTTTTCATAAGAACTCACAAAAAATAAGAACAAATTTTACACAACACTACTCTAAGGGGTATACAACAAAAATGGTTGATACTTGGGTATTGTACAACAGTATACAGTTGCCAAACTTAATAAGGTATTAGTACTTGCAAAAAATATAATTTGATTTCAAGTAATTTTCTTATTTTCTTAGAATTTAAGGGTCAGTGGCAACAATTGGTAGAGTGGCAAGGACTGGTTGTTTACCTTATGCATTTATAAAGAAACCCACAAATATGCTGCATATATATGCACATGCATTTTGCATATAATCCAGTCTCTAGTTATCATCATCTCTGACATTGTTGGCATGAGGTAAACTATCATAATAGTCCTTTGCTGATTGAGAACAAAATATTTTCAAAGCCTGAATATCTTTGAACTTTAGCTCAGAAATAAGCAGTTTGTCTGTGTAAGCCTTGTGTGGTAATGAAAATTCATTATTGTTTTTTTGTCAACCGCAGTTGTTGAGGACTGTTAATTGTGCTTGACAACCATGAGCCCCTGTAATTTTCTTTGTGGAAGATTAACCTTCCATGATTAACATGTTTTTTTGTAAAAAGGAGTCAGAAATGCAGTCAAAGATTTAAAATGATTTGTAATACATTCCTTGAGATTGAATGGTTTAGGTTTCTTTCTAGACTCTTTAATGTGCTGTGCCCACTCACTAGGTAACTCAATCCTTGCTTTTTGATTAATGAAAACCATATTGCGGTCACACTCTAAAAATCAATGATAGGTATGGACCATATTGTAAAGAAATCTAAAAACTGTATAATTTATATTCTGACCACCACATGAGTCACAGAATATGGTCAACTTTTGTACTTGAGAATTCAATTCATTGTCAAGGGCAGTACCAATTCTTAGAGATTTTTATCAACAACAAAGGAAAAAACAGAAAACTTTTGACCAAAACAAGAAAAGATTATTACCAGAAAATCATTACTTCGTCTGATAATCCCAATAAAATCACTTGGAAAGTTGTCAATGATTTCTCAAAAAGTGCTAATAACAATGCTAATACTTTTTTAATGTATGATGACAATAATATAATAACAGATCCCCAAGAGGTAGCATGCACTTTTAACACATTTTTTAAAAATGCACCCATTGATATCGTGTCGAAAATTCCAGGTAATACAGTAGACAAAGACAGTCAGCCAATTATTACAGATCATGAAAATTTCTTTTAATTGTACCCATTTACTGGGCAGGAACTGATCGAACTTCTCCAGAGTAAACTTAAAAACAAATCCTCTAGTGGTTTTGACGAGATACCTGCATTTTTGGTGAAAAAAGTTTTACCTTTTATAATCAATCCTTTAACTTATCTAACCAATTTGTCTTTTTGCAATGGGGATTTTCCTAATTACTTAAAGACAGGCAAAGTAGTTCCCATTTTTAAAAAAGGAGATCCAAAACTGGTCAGCAATTATAGGCCTATAACAATTCCCAGTATATTTTCAAAGGTATTTGAGTATGGATATTTAAAGAGATTAGGTTATCTAAAAAAACAATAATATCATAACTATAAATCAACATGGATTTCAAGAAAATAAATCTACTAATACAGCAGTCCATGCATTTTATGCTCATTTAACCAGTCTGATTGGAATATTTTGTGATCTTAGTAGGGCATTTGACTGTGTAAACCATGAAATATTATTTAAAAAACTAAAACAGATAGGTATTACAGGAAACTCTTTAAAGTGGATTATGTCATTTTTAAACAATAGACAACAATATGTGAGCCTGCAGACAAGGATCGAGGATTGTGTAACCAGTTGTAGATCTAGTATTGTTACTACAAACATGGGTGTTCCATAAGGATCTATAATAGGACCAATTCTCTTTGTAGTCTACATTAACGACATCTTACAAGTGGACAAAGCGGTAAATTTCACTATATATGCGGATGATACGTCAATTATTCTATCTAACAAATCCAACAACATCAATGTAATAATTTTCTTTCATCTTTATATTCTTGGTTTTGCGATAACTCGTTACATCTAAATGCAGAAAAAACGCAAGTTATACATTTTCACAATAAACAAAAATACTTGGAAAATCTTCAGCTTCCTTTTAACAACATGCAAATAGGTACGGTGTCGTCAGGCAAGTTTTTGGGAATAATGATTGACGAAAGTTTGGATTGGAAGTTGCATTGTGGGGCGGTTGTTTCGAAGTTGAGTTCCATTAACTATCTAATTAGAAATTTAAAATATGTTCTGACGGAAATTCAGCTAAT